GCTGACCCACAATATCTGAGCAGTCAAAACTCGAGAGCCAATTGATTAGCCCTTAGTGAAAAGCATAACAGCCAGGTGGAGTGGATGGTCACAGTGACCTGACCAGAGTCTGCCCTCCTTGCTACCCAGCCAAGTGGCTTCCTTACCGGAGGTTGCTCAGCAGCGGTGGACTCAGTACAGCCACAGTGATTGATGGGCCTGGAATGTGGGGTGGCTTCAGCTCCTCAGTGGTGGAGGACCGGGTGGGCAGACCAGGTCACCTCTTCCCTCACATGGCCTAAGGACAGGACTCATGGCCTTCAGTCTGTGACTCCAGCTGCCCACTTGATGGACACATTGTGTCCTCAGTTGAGGACACACCTTCACACTGGTCCTCAAGGCAAGCCCTGTACACCTGGGAGGCTTCTGCTCTCCTGCAGACAGCTGCACTCGGCTTCCTCATTTGTCTCTCTCATTTGCTGCCAGGGGCCACCCATGCCTGGCACTGGGGGGTGATCTGAATAACTGGTTGCTTCCAGGCTTCTCTTCCATAGGTGCATGGGTTAGCCATTTGGAAACTGCTTTCTGGGCACTTTAGAACTGGGCAAATAAGTAACCTGGAGCTGGGTTTCTCGTTAGTAAAGAAAGAAGTTGCAAATATGCAAATAACTAAAAAAAGTTACGATCCTTTTGCAGCTGGTAACCGTGATGATTGGGTGTTTGCGCATGTGTGATGTGCCACCCTCGCACTTGTTGCAACATCGGCACATTAGCCATGTGACATGAGAAATAATAAATAAAGGGAAAGGTCAGACTAGGCCCTAGAGTGTGGGATTGGAACTGGAGGTATCAGCATGAACTCACATTTTAATATATAGAGAGAGGGAGAGATAGAAATATAGAGAAGTGTGCTCTATGGTTTTCTTCTTAGATCTGGCCACTGAGAGGTCCTAGGAGTGAAGACATGCCAGTAGCAAGAAGCACACACACCTGACATCCAGATTCTTGTTTCTGAATATCAGATCCTGCACAAAGGGACCAGGGTTCCTTGGAGAAATGGCTGATCTCAGTGCTGGTGCAAGGAAGGGACAAGATGAGCCTGGAACTCATCTTGTGCCGGAAAATAAGGAAGAGCTCCGATGATGATGGGGACATTTCCCAAGGAGACAGAAGCCAGTTTGAGGTGTCTCCCATGGCCAAGTCTAAAACAATTTGAGCATCAAGACAAATAATGATTGTAAATGAGTATAAATCATTGAAAAATAAGAATCTCTGAGTCCACATGGTATAAATCAACCAATAGATGAATAGGGAAATCTCCTCTGTAGAGCTGAGTGCCAGCTAATAGGTATAGAAGGATAGAATTCGTCCTGGAAGCCCAGCTACTTGGGAGGCTGAGTCAGGAGGATCATTTGAGGCCATGAGTTTGAGACCAGCTATGGCAAAAAAAGCAAGACCTTGTGAAAAAGAAAAAGAATAAGAAAGAAGAAGAGAAGTAGGAAGAAGAAGAGGAGGAGGAGGAAGAAGAAGAGGAAGAGGAGGAGAGGGGAAGGGGGGGAGGAGGCTCACCATCATTTGGTAACTATCACCAGTGACAATTCAGGCAAGGATCATCATTGGGTGCTGAGTCTAGTAGTGACAGTCTGATGAGAAACAGGATATTTATATGGCTTCAGAGTGTCTCCCCACAAGACACTTAGTCATGACGGGGGTGGGGGATAGTTACAGAGTAGAAATCTGGCAAATAGCACTTTGACCAAGTGACGAAGAAGTTGGCACCTTAGGCCTCCTGATACTGAGGACACACCAACACTTCTAGGTATTCCTGCCCAAAACACACAGCCCACATCTAACCACAACTGAACATCAGTTCTACAAAATAACTGGCCAGGTGTCCTCAAAACTGTCAGGGTCATGAAAACAAAGAGGAATTATTCAGTTTAAAGGAGATGAAAGAGACATGACAACTAAATGCAATGTGTAGCTGGATTCGATCCTGGACTAGAAAATAATTCGGGGCCAAAAATGTTCTTGTTGGGATAATCGGAAACATTGGCATAAGGTCTGAAGCTCAGATAACAGTGGTTTTATCTCAGTGAACGTCCTGATTTTGATAACTGCATCACAGTTATATAAGAGAATGCCCTCGTTGTTGTTGTTTTTCCCCAGGAAATACACATTGAAGTATTTAGAGATAAAAGTGCATCCTATTTGCAGTTTTCAAAGGTTTGTATACATACAGATATAGAGAAAAAGAATGGGGTGAGAGCGATGATGAATTTAATTGGTAAAATGTAAATGTTTGGGAAAACTGGGTGAAACATTTGGAAATTCTTTGTACTTCTCTTGCAACTTTTCTGTTAGTCTGAAATTAAGACTTAAAGGTTTGCTGGATAAAAGCGTAAAGAATTATCTAGCATGGTCTGGGGAACTGGCATGCATTCAGTTTGTGGTGGTCATTAGAGAAGAAGGCAGCTCGTAAGCGCCCCTTAACTAGAGGTATTAGAATGTTCTAGGCCAGGGATTTTCAAACTCTCATATGCCCTGGAATCACTCGGGGATCTTGTTCACTGCAGATTCTGGCACGGGTCTGGGTAGGGATGGAGGGTCTCAATTCCTAACAGGCTCCCAGTTGATGCTGATGCTGCCTTCCTGCTGGTTCATGGATCACCCTTTGGGTAGCACAGGGGTAGATGCCACTGGAATTTAGACCATGGGTTCCCAAGCCTGCTGCACTTTGGGACCACCGGAGGAGCTGATGTTCATTGGTCTTCTCTGGTGATTACCATGTGCTGTCTTCACAAAGACTAAAGCTTCACATTGATCCTGCTCCCTCCTTTCCATCATTGCAAACGCAGACCCTGAGTCTAAGGACTGCCATGGCGTCCAAGAGGGGCCTCTGCTGCTGCTTTACTCCATCTTATACTCAGAAGCCAGATGAATCTTCCTGCTCCCCCATGGTTCAAACGTCCACTGTGGGAGGCAGGTGTGAACTCCTCGCCCAGGCAGCAAGCCCTCTGTGGTGTGGCCGCAACCCACTTTTTCTGGCTTCTCTCCCAGGCTTCTCTGTTGTTTGATACCTGCTTCCCAGAGAGCAGCTGCTCATAGTCCTTTAGCCAGGTTCCACCTTGATGCATCTGCAGCTGTGATCACTCTCACACCCAAAAGCAGCTGTCTCAGGCCCACTCAGGTCTCCTGGTAAGAAGCACCACGTGGTCCCTTCCTCCATGGGGGCCATGTTTCACATGTCACAAATCCCTCCCCTCACTGGGCCTGCTCAGGGTGCCCACAGTTCTCTAGGAGAGGTAGCTTGCTCAGAGCTGGGGACCTGGAGGCTCAGATAGGGTCTCCTCACTTAGAGTAGGGGAAGAGGCTGTCTGCTGCTGGGACACAGAATCTCATTCACAACCACACAAGATGGGGCTCTGCTCCCTCTGGTGTGTGGGGAAGGTCAGGGAGGCTGGGGTGTTGCTCCAGAATTCTGGATTGGCTACCAATTCCCTGGTCCCCTCCCCAGCTCTCCACCCACCCACTTATCCACTCTTCACCCTCCCTCCTTCCACCCAGCATGTGGCTGGGATCCAAAGGACCTGGAGGAAAATAGGTCACCGGGAGGTGCCACCTGGATCGTTCCCTCAGGACAGGGCTCAGCCCTGAGAGGGCAGCATGCGTTAGGCCACAGAGAGCGGGGCTGAAAATCTAATTTGAGAAGGGGAATGCAAGACCCAGGAGGCATCCAGAGACCACCCCTTCTCCACTTCCCCCATCACATTCTCCCACTCCCCCACCCTCTTCTCTAGGCCTCACTTTTCTGGAAAGAGATTTCCCCCAATCCCACACCAGAAGTCCTTCCCTCCACGTACCCTGGGGCTGATGGAGCTAATTTCAGTTACACTGCTTGGCTGCCCAGGAAAGGGGCCTTGGTAAGCCCTGGGGTTTCGGGGCTGAGCCAGGTTCCCAGGAGCATCACAGCTGGAATCGGAGGGAAGAAGGGCCAGGGAGGAGCAGCTGATCCTGGCTCAGATCAGCTTCAAAAAGTCCAGGGGCTTCAACCCTGCCTTCTCTCTCTCCCTCAGGAGCTGTCCAGATGGGAACTTTGAGAGGCTCATTGCATCCTGGAGGATGGAAAATGGTCCTTCACACCCCCATCAAGAGGACCCAGATCCCTGCATGTCTGAGTCTCTGACCTTGCACCAATCTTCCTGGGCCCACAGTTTGGAGGATGCAGGCCGTCCTCCCCTGAGAACAGGCTCTCCTGATGTGCTTGGTGGGGAGGTCTGAGATTTGGAACAAATTGGCTCCTCTGTGGAGACTTTTGTCCACTGAGCATCTCCCTTTGAGTTGGGGCTTTCAGATTCCCAACCCTACTGCATTCCAGAAAAAGAAACAGGAATTTGGAAGCAAATAAGAGGTGGACCCCTAAAAGAGATGCACACCCCATTTCCAGATCTGGGAATGTCCTCCCCCTCCACCAGGTCACTCTAGTTTCAGGCTCTATTCCAAGTCCCTCCAAGAAGAAGCTGACCTCTCACTGCCTCCCCCGTCCTGCAGCATGCCCTGTGCTGCCCCACGCAGGTCAACACTTGTCTCCTGGCCTTGCTTTCTGCCTCCAAGTTCTCGCTCCCGGACAGCTGCAAGAACCTATTGGCCCAGCAGATACTTTCCTGTTGATCATAACCATAATTTCCCAATCCCCAGTCAAGACAGCTCATATATAACTTTAAAGCCACTGTGGGGTATAGGGGCAATTTGTATGCTAAAATACTGCAGATGGAAATAATTAGAGGAATTACTTCGATTCAAAATGATGAGAGTAATTCTGTAGGGAATAAGTCAAATATTTTATGTTGAGCCTGTCTTAGAAAATCCAAGCCGTGCCGTCACTGTGGATATATTCTTATACCTCCAGCTGGGCCCTCAGTAGACACTTGAATCTCCCTTGTCTCTGACATTGACTCCCTGCATTCCCCACCCTCTCACATCCCACTCATCCTCAATCAACACGCTACATGGTTTTTTCCTGGATCAGTCTTTATTGGTGTTTGCAGCAACTGAATTATTGGCACAAGGCACAATGAATTTCAAAGCAAATGACAGAAAGAAAATACCATTGTCCAGGTGGAAAGGCTGTTCAGGGAGGTGTCCGAGAGCAACTGTGACCCTCACCAAGACCCTGCAGCCAGGACCCAGCCCAGCTGAGCAGGCTTTGAGGACCAGAGAGTAAGCAAGCCATACCTCAAGGAATCTGAGGGGTCCCACAGTTCTTTCAAAGACAAACATTTTAGCTTCCTTGGGAGCTCTTCCAGCCGTCAAGTCTGCATCAGTAGCAGTCTGATGACCATGGGGACCCTGTCCCTCACCTGTGCCTGCTCAGTGGAAGCCTCCCCCACCAGGGGCAGATTAAGGCCCCTGCAGAGGGAGGCGGGGGGAAGGGCAAGAATTGATACAGTGGATTGGCCAAGCCTAGTGACCCCCCTGAGGATATGTGACCCCCTACACCAGTGGGTCTTCTCACCAATATTTAAGAGGGTAAAGAAAAGGGGGCTTCTCAGTGGGAGAGCTCTTGCGGCCCTTCTGAGGAGGGTTCCTCCTCTATGAGCTCCAGGTCAAACTCATCTTCCAGGGACCCTCCCACAGGCAGCAGGCGGAACTTCTTCCCTTTCAGCGTGCAGGTGCGATGCTCAAAGTCCAGGACTGCGTTGTGGTCCTGGAGCACATCGGTGCCAATGATGGCTTCCTCAGCACTTGCGTTGGCCACCAGGAACTGTGCCTTCAGTTTCAGCTTGCCTAGGGACACCGCTGTATCCCAGACACCCAGGATCTTCATTTCGGCACCGTTGGCCACCTTCACCACGTTCTCAAAGGGCCGCAGGGTGTCCAGATCGCCGTCAGTGACCTCCTCCCACAAGCTCGGGTGGACCACAGAGACCTGGGCCCCAGAGTCCACCAGGAACCTCACGGGCACTCTGCCAATCTTCCCCTTGAGATAGTAGCCCTTACCCATGCTGTAGGCAAAGACGATCTCTTTGGGTAGGTGGCTGGGGGCGGCCCCAGGGACCCCAAAGGCCTTCAAGAGGGTCTCTTTCACAATCTCATAGTCTCCTTGGTCCTGGGGACTGAGCCCATTGTAGACATCCAGGGCCTTTCCTCTGAGGGACTCTTTCAGGAACCTTAGCTTGGTGATATGGTCCCAATGGTTGAGGTCGTTGATGACTTCAAATCGTCGCAGCCAGAGGTTTGGGACGATATTGGCTCCATCAAAAGGTTCTGGGATGAAGGCATGCTGCCGGCGGCCTTCCTCACTCCTGGCTCCACTCCCGGCCATCCCGCTGCTCTCCTCTGGAACTTCAGCAGCAACCCACGCCAAGAAGAGAAAGCCACAGAGCAGTGTCGGCGCAATCACGCTGGAAAACGGGGCCTCTCGAAGCAGAGTGAGGCTGACTTGCCCGGCCTTGGGCAAGCAGGAGGGAGCAGGCGCCTTCAGCCGACTAACAGCTAGGGAAGAGGCAGGAAGTGCTGTGTGCTGCTTGGGCTCTGCAGAGCCTTTTTGATGCCGAGGCTGGCTCCTGGGCTCCCTATTCTCTTTTGTTCTGGAAGCTCCGCCCCTCCTTGCCCCGCCCTCCTGCCAGCATCCAGCCAGACTAGCAGGATGAGTGCCTCACCCTCAGCATCCATCCTCGGACCAACACCAGCCAGCCCACATCCCAAGAAAGGCCGGCCTTTGTTGAAGGGGGACTGCTCAGTACCCTCCCCTGCCCGTGTCCCAGAATAACAGATGAGGATACAGAGGATGTGATGACAGTCAGGTATTTGTCATCAGCCAGAGAAGGAAGGGGGAGGCAGGGACCAGATGCCCATCAGCTCTGAGACTGGGGAAGCCCCTGTTGGCCTGCCCCACAGGTAGCCACTTTGAGTGGTCAGAGGAAAGGATTTTACATGTGCTGAGCTCCCACCACGTGCCAGGCACTGGGAAGTGTCTCTCACACGTTCTAAATCAAGTATAGGGTCCTATGGGACTTCCTGGAGAGGGAGGCAGAGGAGGGTCCTAGAATCAAGAATGCACAGAAATGGTCTTTTTTTTTTGAGATGGAGTTTCGCTTTTGTTACCCAGGCTGGAGTGCAATGGCTGGATCTCAGCTCACCGCAACCTCCACCTCCTGGGTTCAGGCAATTTTCCTGCCTCAGCCTCCTGAGTAGCTGGGATTACAGGCACGCGCCACCATGCCCAGCTAATTTTTTGTAACTTTTAGTAAAGACGGGTTTCACCATGTTGACCAGGCTGGTCTCGATCTGTTGACCTCGTGATCCAACCGCCTCGGCCTCCCAAAGTGCTGGGATTACAGGCTTGAGCCACCGCGCCCGGCCCAGAAATGGCCTTTTTTTAAGTGAGGACACGCGCGGGTGCGCGCGCGCGCGCGCGCACACACACACACGTGCACAATCATTTTACAAGGACTCAATGGCTGCAGTAATTTTCCATCATTGAGCAGCCCTGATTCAGAGGCAGGGGGCTAGCTACCCAACTCTGGGGGGGCCATCCTGGGCTCCACCAGCTTTGTCTCCAACCTGTCCAACACTCTCCATTTCCAGGAAACTTTCCAAGGGCCCCTTCCCCAGGTGCTGCAGTCCTTCCTTTCCCACTCCCCAACCTGGTCATTTATGGAAAGATCACAGCAGAATTTCACTCCCTTTTCATTCTGAGAGGGGAAATGTCCAATATGTTGGTGATGCCGGTAGTGAGGGCCTGGAGGGCTCTGACTGTGTGCCCCTCCACTGTGGGGTAAAGGGTAGTGCTGGAGGACCTGCAGGCATCTACAGAGGAGATCTGTGAGTCCAACCTGAAGGCCTGACTTGGGGCAGTGCAGTGGCTATTGAAGGGATCCACTTTTATGGCCCCATTCAAATGTCACTCCATGGAGCCTTCTGTCTATCCCTAGCAAGAGCACCCACTCTGGGTTGAGCGTGTTTTACAGTGTGCTCTGGTGGTTTGTTCACAAGTCTGCCTCCTGCTATGAACCAGAGTCTGGGGCTCACAAACCTGGCATTTGTGATCATTTCCAGCCCCCAGAACAACTTCCTCTGGGACCCAAGGGCTCTCTGCTGGGCTCCAGGCCTGGCTGCATGCTGTGACCAAAGAGGATTGATTAAGAATGGGAGAGGAGGAAGACTCGATGGCAGACCTGTGGCTCTGGGGCTGTTTTTCCTGGCTGAGAGCCTATCCCATTCCAGCTCCCTATCCCATGCATTGCCCAGTGCCTGGTGGAATCCTAGCAGTACCCCGCCTTTGGACAGTCCTATCTCTGCATGGCCCAGGTCCCCAACCACACTGCAAGACTGTGCTGTCCCCAGCCCCTTCCAGCTGATTCGATGAGCCAGTGGAGAGGCAGCTGGGTCAACACCTCTCATTGCAGCTGCCTGACTAAGGTGGGGCCATTGTGGCATTCCAACAGCCCAGAGGAAGGGGAAATGGAGTCACTGAGAAGGTGTTGAGAGCAGGTGGTTCTTTGAGAAGATTGCATCATGAAAAACCTGCATCCAGAGACATGGCCCAGCCACATGCAAGACCTGGAAGCCTCTTCTGCAGGTGGACTCTTGCACATGGCTTCCCAGCTGCTGGGATGAATGTTGTTCTGTGGCTCAAAGAACTGACCCAGTGGTTTCATGATTCCCTGGTATTCATTCCCTCCACACATCTGGTCCCCTGGAAGTGGAAATGAATGAGGAGGCTAGCATGTGACCAAGGGAGGAGAGAGGCAGGGTGGCTTGTCAGCTGACACGCTGGGACTGCCAGATACCCTGGACTGGCTTTTCAAACCATAGTGGTAGATGCTGAATTCTAATCTCCCCACTGCCCTTAGACTAGAAATCGGTGGTGCCTTGGGACTTCATTTGAGTGGGTTTGGTGTTCACTTTGGCAAAGTCATTTCATACACATCACCTCCGTGAGCAGCATGACAAGCTGGAAAGCAGACCGCTCCACTCCAGGACTCTGCAGCACAGGAGCCTCAGTGGCCTCAGGTCCCAGGCTTTCCAGTGGCCAGAGAAAAGCATTTTGCAAGGACAGGGAGGTGAGATGCTGAGTTGGGAGAGGTACAGCATAGGCACTGGAGGCAGGGGTCTTGGTGGTCAGTGGAGAAAGAGCTGCTTGTTAAATATTCAGGAATTTAGTGAGCCAATTGTTAAACCAATTGGTACTTGAAATCAGACTTGACGGAAGTATTTATACCACTAAAATTGGCAAATGCTAAATCAAGACATTTCCCCCTCAGGAATGCCAGTTCTGTCACACTCCCTGCATGGGAGCCTTGGTCACACTGACTCTCTCTAGGGCAGGCAAAGTGCCGTGGCCAGCGATGAACAAATTTATAGTAACATCCACCCTGCTCAGCCACTAAGGCCCAAATCATCTCTCACCAAGGAGCCCGAGCCCACCTTTGTCCCATCCTTCTCCACAATCTTTAGACTTCTGTGCCAAGCCCACCTTTGTCCCATCCTTCTCCACAATCTTTAGACTTCTGTGCTGCTGTGGCTTGAGGCAGATGGCCTGTCAGGCTGTGTCTTCCACACAGTTCCCTCTGGGACCTCCACAACAGAAGCACGCACTGGCCTCATGGTTACCATGAAGGCTGGAAGGGGTCAGCATCAGCCTCTGGCTGAGTCTGGGAGTCTGTCTTAGGAACATGGGTGGAGGTCAGTTCTCAATTTCCTTTAAGCCTTAGGAGATACCCAACCCTAGAACGGCCAGGCAATACGCAGAGAGAGAGACCTTGGAATGGCTGTGCTGGGGTGCCCCATGAGCTAAACCAGCCAGGGCAGGTGCCACCATCTCCTCCCAGAACCTAGGAAATCGTGGTTAATTATTGACAAGTATAGGTATTGGGGCGGGACACCCTCATTATCATCCATTACCGTCTCCTGGGTGTACCCTGAAGCAGGCACATCGCACTTAACCCTGGAAGAGCGAAGCAGGACAATAAACAGGAAGGAGTGGGCCTCCCCACCCTCCACACCCCCTCACTCAGATTTCTGGGCTGTGAGCTCCACCAGCCCAATTCCTTCTCAGTTCCCTAGTTCCCCTTTGCCGTTTCTTTTCTGGTGTGTGTGTGTGTGTGTGTGTGTGTTAATTGTTTAACTTCTGATATTCACCTGGATCTTTTGCCAGGTTTTATCTCCCTCAGGCCAGTTGGGCAAACTGGGACAAGCCCAGGACTGTGCCCATCAGGCCTCCTGAGACCCAAAGTCCTTGGTGGGCAGTAAGTTCACCCCAAACACTTTAGACCAGGGCTCCAATCTTTTGGCTTCCCTGGGTAATACTGGAAGAATTGTCTTGGGCCACACATAAAATACACTAACACTAATGATAGCTGTTGAGCTAAAAAAACAAAAATCTCATAATGTTTTAAGAAAGTTTATGAATTTGTGTTGGGCCGCATTCAAAGTTTGTTTTAGACTGTTCCTGAAGCCCGACGACTTTCCAGAACACAGTAGCAGCTCAAAGAGGAGCCTGAGGCCTTCCAAGTCCCAAGGGTGGAGGGCAGGGCCCACCACGCAGGGTGGAGTGGGGAGCAGACCCCAGCTTCTAGGGAGATCACTTTTCGAGCCAGGAGCCCAGGGCAAGAGACACCTTACGGACTGGGGTGCCGCTAGTGAGGCCCAGACCAGAAGAGGAGGGTCAGGAAAGGGTAAGACCAGCACAGCCCTCAGCCACTCTGCCAGCCCACCTTGGCACTTCCCCACACTGCCAAGGTCTGGGAAGCCAGTGGGGAGAGAGCAAGGGGGGACCCAGGGACCTTCCAAGGTGGCATAGGAAGGTTGGAGGGAGACCAGGAGGCACACTCCTCCGTGGGCATGAGACCCACCCTGCGCTCAGAAAGGCCCCAGCTTGGTTTGATGCTCTGCTGTTGCTGTCTTGGAACTCCTGGTAATTTTGAGTGAGGGCCCCATGTTTTTATTTTATTTGGCGACCCCAAAAATTAAGTAGCTGGCTCTGTCCCTGCCCAATCTGGTGGTGGGGGTCTTCTCTTCATACACATGTACGTACACACAGACACACACACTCCCTGCTTCACACCATGTACACACTGTCCATCCACAAAAAGCACACTCCTCCACACTGTACGCACATCCTGCACCTATAAAACACATACAGTCACACTGTAGTGCTCAGTGCAAAACAGCTGAGCTATTGTGCAGCCTGCACATAGAATTCAGATCCCACCTTTCATTTCACATGTTTATTTGCACCCACATTTACACCGAGCATTAAAATCCTATTTATTGGAGGCGCCTGCTGTTTATTAGCCTCTGGGCACACTTGCTGCTTCAGAAGACGAGGCAGGTCCCCGTGGCCACCGCTTACAAGCTAATGAAAAGAGGATCTAGATATTTAACAGCCAAGTTTTGAAGAGTTTAAGACCAATGTATATATGCAGGCTGACCCACTTAAAGCAGCCCCCGTCACAACCACGCTGCTTTGAAAGGAGCCAGTCTTTAAGTGGGTCAGCCTGCCTCCTGCTCCCTGCCACCTGGTAAGGGCAGGGCCGGAAGCCTCCATCCCCTGACTCCCCCTACCCGCTACCTCTGGGCATGGCCGCCAAGATCAAGGCCCCCCAATTTGCCCGCCCCTCTCCTGCACGACTGGGCCCCCCAGCCCATATGGGGCCCCCGTCCCAGAGTTGATGCGAGTGTGTGTGGGGTTGGTGACACAGCTCCTTGGAGCACCGCCCTGGCTGCATTCTGCTTCCAGCATTCCGCATCAGTAGGCTTATGGCACCAGGTCTTCAAACTGAAAAGAAACATGAAGAGGTGAATTTGGCACAAAAATCTGGTCAGGAATTCAGATCAAAGCTGGGTGGACTTTGACCCAAGCAAGGTACATTTGGAAATCCAAGATCCAAGACACCTGCAAATTCCTCATCCCCAAACCTAAACCCCGAGACCACACATGCCTGCTCCTACCACACAGGCACCACCCAGCATTCACAGTCACGGCCAAGGGCACATGGGCAGGACAGCTTGACCTTGACTGGACCACCATCTTGGTTCCTGCCACACGCCTCACACCACAGGCTAGTGTCACCACTGAGGGACAGAGCTCCCCTGCCTTCAGGGCCTTTCCCCAGCTCACCACTGTTCCAGAACTTCTTCTTCCCATTTGGGTCTCCCTCCTACCCTCCTTCGCCCCAGTTCAGAACCCTTCTAACCGGAAATGGCCCAGTACAGCCCACCAGCCAAATCCAATATGTCAGCAGGCAGCAAAACGCTTAATGCAAGTCCCAACCCTGGGGGTCCTGGAGATGTTTGGGGAGCAGT